TTGAAATGTGATTTTTTATTATATATATTTAGCCATAGACCTACGTTTATTAAACATGATTTGGCTTGTGTATTGATGATTGTAATATATGTGTGTTTAATTATCTCATTTTAGCAATGTGAATGATAAGTATGATAAATGCTATGACTATGTGATCATAGAATCCTATTAGAAGTATTCTGTAGAATTTATATGATTGTGTGATGTATTAGTTGGTGGCCATGAGAAGTTGATGATGTAATGGTTACGTTGCAACCCATAGGAGTTGAGTTGTGGGTAAGTTGTGTTGAATTTCCTGCACTATGTAGCAATGGTACATAGATGGTCTTGCTTGGTTAATCCGCATTGGGGGACCATACTATATGTGGATTGTGCTTGGTTAATCAGCGTTAGGCGATCCTTATGACCATTTGTACTTAGGGGTGATCATGCCTAGTTAATCCACGTTGGATGATCACTGCCTAACAGTTCTGTAGGTGTGACTCTGCTTGGTTAATCGGCGTTGGGGGGGTCACTACCTACCTGATTATCTTAACCATGCTTGGTTAATCCGCATTTGGGGGGTCACTAGTGGTCATTCTTGGTTAATCTGCATTGGGGGACCATACTAAATGTGGATTGCGCTTGGTTAATCCACGTTGGGCGATACTTATGGCCATGTATGCTTAAGAGCGATCATGCTTGATTAATTCGCATTGGGTGATCACTTCCTAACAGCTATATGAGTGATTTTTCTTGGTTAATCCGCATTGAGGGGTCACTGTCTACTTGGTTACTTTCTCAGGAGTGGCTCTGCTTGATTAATCTGTTTTGGGGGGGCCACTTTGTGTTTGGTTACTTATGTAGGCTTCAGCCAAACTGCGTCCCTCTAGCCCTAGTTTTTAATGTACATATGAACGACGATTTTTTATTTTTTTTTTTGGAATCTTATGGTTTGAATTAGAAAAATCGTTGGATGTCTGGGTGACTCATTTGGAGTTTTCAGTGACATGATTATGATTTCATAAAGCATGATTCTATATTTGATGTTTATAGATTGTGATTGATGACCTGTTTTTACTGGATATTATATACTTGTATTATTGTCACTCACCCAAGCTTTACAGCTTATCCGAGTGTCTGATTTGCCTAGTGTGACATCTCCTTGACGTAGGTCTGGGTAGATTATGAGAAGCAGCTTGGTATTTTAGTTCCGTTGAGTGGTCCGAAACCCGAGATTGTTGGATTCCGTTGAGTGGTCCAAAACCTGAGATTTGTTCAAAAAAAATTATGAAAACTTCCACTTTCTTGTCTAAAAGGCTAAGATGCACTCTATAAAAAAAAACTGTAATGGAAAATCCTTTCTTTTTTCAGAATTTATAAATGTGAAAGACCAAAAAAAAATTGAAAAGGAGAAAACATATTGTTGTTTGCAAAACCTAGACAAATTACGCTCCTCACGTCTACTTTCCTCACCACCACTCCAACTACACAAAGCCAATCTAGACAATTTTTTTGTTCTCTCTCCAGATCACACCTAATTAAGTTGGATTTTCTTCTTAAATTTATGATTTCTTTCATTATTGCAATTTAATTTCTTCAATTTGTATGACATCTGCGCCATTCCCGTCTTTGAACAACGACTCGAAAAACCAACCCAGAAATCAATTGACGACTCGAAAAGAAAAAGACCAAACCCAGTCAAGAAGGACAATAGGGAGAAGGAGAAAGAGAGGACATTGTTTCAGGAGGAAGAGTTTACGGAAAGTACGGCAAACAGAAGAAGGAAGATAATCCTAGCTAATACCGTGTTGTAGCTCCTGATTTTTTTTTTCTGAAGATAGAAATATATTAAAGACAAATAAAAATGTTTACATCCTGAGCTAAAATGTTGAACAAAAACTCCGCAAACAAAAGCTTGACCCTCTTTAAAAACAAACTTAGCCACCGAGTGAGCAACATGGTTGTTCTCCCTAGACACAAACGCGAATGTCACTGACATCAGCCTTCACGCTAAAAGCTCGATTTCCCCAAGAATACATTGAAGACTGAGGCAATTCCTTCCTGAGCATTTGGATAATTACCTTAGCATCAGATTTGATAATCACATTAACAAACCCATTGTCAATGCAAGTCATCATGGCATCACGAATCGCACACGCTTCAGCAGCTACTGCAGAGTGATAAAATATGTTGCCCAAGCCACCCGCAACTTGAAGCAGTCCAGCAAAGTCACGGCCAACCTAGCCCACGCTTGCATGCAAAATGTTCTTACACCAAGCCGCATCAGTATTGATCTTAATAAAGCCATACTCTGGTTTCAGCCATTGTGCAACTGTACGAGGCACTGTTGTTGTTGATAACTCTTTCTTTGGGCTCTCACCCGTTAGCTTCCTGGACATAACATCTATAAAATCAGAGATGCTCCTCCTCCAAGCCTTCAAGACTTCCAGCGGCTACCGGTACACACCTTTGAACACAACCTCGTTCCTATTTTTCTAGAGTCTCCACAGGCTAAAGGCAAATTCCTGTAAGATCTCATCAGCCTTGTCCCTATCCTTAACCCAATTGTAGAAATTTTCCCAACTCACTAAAAAATCAGCACAAACCAAGTCAAGGGAGTTCAACTGGAGCGGAGAACAAAACCAAAATAAGTGACTGAGCTTGCAGCGGAAAAATAAGTGGTTTTTAGACTCATTTACCGTATTGCACAACCAGCAAACATTATTAACCCTCATGTGGCATCTTTAGAGATTACGTCTAACAGCCAAAGCATTGTTACAACACCGCCAGATGAAATTTTTTATTTTGTTAGGGACCTGCAGACTCCAAATCTTATTCCACACCTAGTTATGCTTTCTATTCTCACTAGGTGCTCCCCGTTCCTTCCTTCCTAGTGCACCGTTTTCCATGAGACTCACAGCCACCCCATACCCGAATCTGACTGAGTAATCCCCATTCACAGTGTTGTGCCACACCAGTCTACCGCAACAACCAGTTTTGCTTAGAGGGATGCTTAAAATTGGGCCCACATCATCCCGATTAAAGCCTGCTGAAATCACATTGGCATTCCAAGATTTTGAGTCCAGGTCAATTAAGTCACTCACCATAGTCCATTGCAAGCATTCTCGCAGTCTAACTTTGAACGTAGTGGGTCTAGGCAACCATGGGTACTTTCTTATATTGATACAAGTTCCGTCTCCCACCCGCCACTTTAAGCCTTGCAGTAGCACCTTGTGTGCTTCAAAAATGCCTTTCCAACCCCATGACTTATTCCTTCCCCTACCAGCTTCCCTAAAGGTTTTCCCAGGAAAGTATTTATCTCTCAAAATCGTTGCTAAAAAAGACAACGATTTTTGGGTTAGGCGCTACCCAATCTTGGCCAGGAAAGCCAAATTGAAGCATTGAACATCCTTGAATCCCAAGCCTCTAGACCTTTTTTGTTTCATTAGCCGTTCCTAAGAAATCCAATGGACACCCTTCCGCTGCTCGTTACCTCTCCACCGATAGTTTCGAATTGCTTTCTCAATGTCCCTGCACACCCCAAGGGGAAGCTTGAAACAGCTCATGGCATAGTTCAACAAAGCCATGGTCACCGTCTTGACAAGGACTTCCTTCTCCGTTTGGGACAAGAACTGCTCCGCCTAACCCGCCATACGAGTTTCGATCTTATCTCGGACCTCCTCAACGACAGCTTTTTTGGAGTGCTAAAAATCTGCTTGCAGCCCTAACTTCCCGAATCCCTCCTTACATTGAATATTTAAAGTTTTTTTCAATATTCTTCTTGGTTCATTTCATAGCCTTTGAGCTAAAGAAAATCGAGCTTTAGACATATTAATTTCTTGACCAGATCATCGTGCATAAATCTTTAGTACGTCTACAACCCCTTGGGCCTCCTCCACCGTAGCATTACCAAACAACACAGAATCATCTGCAAAAAATAGGTGTGTTATCGGAACTCCGTTTGGCGTCACCTTAAAATTGTGGAGAGCACCTCACTCCACACCTTCCCTAATCAACATGGAGAACCCTTCGGTACAGAGAAGAAACAAGTAGGGAGATAAAGGGTCTCCCTGTCTCAGCCCCCTTTTTGGCATAATGCACCCCGTCGTGGATCCATTAACTAGAATACTGAAAGAAGAAGTAGAGATGCATTCCTTAATCCACCCGTAGAACAACGGCGCAAAGCCCATTTTCACCATCACAGATAAGAGTAACTCGTATTCCACACGATCATAAGCCGTAGCCATGTCCATCTTTATAGCCATACCTGTCCGATCTTCCTTTTTTTGGTGAAGTAGGGAATGCATAATTTCATGCACCACTAGAATATTCTCCTGGTTTGCTTCCTAGCGACAAAGGTAGATTGATTGTCGCTAATCACCTTCGGCATCACTTTCTTTAATCGATTAGTCAGTACCTTGGCAATGATCTTATAGATTACATTGCATAACGCAATGGGCCTGTATTGCGTCATGTTCTTCAGGCATTTCACCTTTGGGATGAGCACCAAGTTTGTATGGTTTAGTTTCCACAATAGCGTACCTGAGTGCCAGAAGGCTTTGACAATATTCACCACATCCTCCCCCATAGTCTCCTAATGGTCCTGGTAAAAACACCCAAAGAACCCGTCAAGACCTGGAGCTCTCGTAGAGGGGATTTGAAAAGCACCTCTTTAATTTCACCATTTGTCACCGATGCCGTCAAAGCAAGATTATCCTCAGATGTCACCCGGGCTTCCATACATTTCTCTACCTCCTCAATTTGGCTAGGCCTTGCAGCTCCGGATTAGATAACGACTTTTAGCGATACGGTTAGTTGAAACGAGTCCGACTTAGTCTCATTAATAGCAGTCCAGTTCAGTTCAATGAGACCTAAGGATGTATTACCGTGTCAGGCACGCGCCATTTAGCCTAAAAAACGACATTAGTCATTAAAAGTTTGGGGTCACCGTGTCAGGCACGAGCCAATTCCCCCCAAAAACGACATTATTCATTAGGGTTGCGCGGGCGTAAAACCAAACACTCTCCTACATCCCACAAACTTCCACTCTCTCCCATTCACGCCTGCAAACTTCGCGGTTTAAATGGCGGCCCTAACCCGCCTATCAAAACCCTCCTTCTCCTCCGTCTACCGCATAAGCCGGTGCCTGTACTCAGGCGCCGCCCCTGAGACCACCTCTCACGGCGCCTCGCCTTACAGCCCGCGCTTGGGGCCCACGTCCAATCTCGCCGTCAAGGATCCCAAGGACCGCAGCGTGCAGTGGGTCTTCCTGGGCTCGCCGGGCGTCGGAAAAGGCACATACGCCAGCCGGCTCTCGAATCTCCTCGGCGTTCCTCACATCGCCACCGGAGATCTCGTCCGCGAAGAGCTCGCTTCATCCGGCCCCCTCTCTCAAGAGGTTTTTGAATCTTCTGATTGCTTTTTTTATTTCTTTCTGTCAGATCTGCATTTTGTTGGGTTTTGATTGTCTTCGATTGTTTTATGGTATTGTAGTTATCAGAGATCGTGAACCGGGGGAAGTTGGTGTCTGATGAGATCATAATAAACTTGTTGTCGAAGAGATTGGAGGCTGGGGGAGCTAAAGGGGAACTGGGTTTTATTCTCGATGGTTTTCCTCGAACGATTAGACAAGCTGTAAGTGTTTTCGCTGGAATAATGTGATTCAAAGTAGTATGAAAGATCTTTGATTTAGAAATGTACGTGGGTTCTCTGCGATCCGATTAAACGAATTTGATTGATCTAAATGAGTAATTGACTGATTGAAAGCTGATATCTTGGAATTATGAATGCTACATTGTATTGAATTGGTGAAAATGTGCTTGAGGATTGATTGAGTGTAATTATGTCGTATTAGGAAATATTGGAAGGGGTGACGGAGGTTGACTTGGTGCTCAATCTGAAGCTCCGGGAAGATGTGCTGCTCGAGAAATGCCTTGGGAGGAGAACTTGTAGTCAGTGCGGTGGAAATTTTAATGTGGCATCCATTAATGTCACGGGTTCAAATGGTCATCCTGCAATTAGCATGGCTCCGCTTCTTCCCCCTGCACATTGTATGTCAAAGCTTGTTACTCGAGCAGATGACACTGAAGAAGTGATTAAACATCGGATTCACGTGTACAATGAGAAGGTATTGCTTTATTTTCCTATCATGTGATCAGGGGCATATTTGAATAACATGTTTAAATACAAAAGGTTGATGAGGGCAGAAGAGAGAAAATAGTTCATTTCCATGTTATCTTCAATTATTCAACTTTGATCAATTTTATTCTCAATGGTTCTCGCAGAGTCGGCCTGTAGAGGAGTTTTACCGTAGTCGGGGGAAACTGTTGGAGTTTGATTTGCCAGGAGGTATCCCGGAGTCTTGGCCCAAGTTGCTTGAAGTTCTTAATCTTGATGATTACAAGGAGAAGCAGTCTGCTGCTGCATAATTTATTATATTGCACCTTGAAAAGGTGAACACGCCATTCTCTTGACGCATAAGGTGCGAACTAGGGTTTTGGATAATTTGAATTTTTTGGAAGGTTGTTTTTTCATGGAGAGAATTCAGTTATATTGCATCGGGAGCGAGTCTTTCCATTACTATTGTTTAGTTGAGCGGATGATTTATTTACCTACAATTTTGGCAGCAATAAGCCCCTGTAAAGGAGGCTGGGCATACTGTATTCTTGTAGCGTATAATTGATTAATATATAGCAAATTGCGTCCTGTGGGGCTCAATAATTGGTTTTGATTCTCAACTGAAACCTGTTCCTATGATTTTTCGTTCTTATCTTCTTTTTTTTTTTCCTTTGAAAAGTGACACACACAGTACTGTAGTTATAGTATCAGATGAACGAGTCATGCTAAGATATCCGATGTTATGATACATGCTCATTTTGTCCTCTGCGACTTGATATTTCGTTCAACCTTGTTTGTTTCCAGATTTTTCTTGCACTGGCCGAGTTGATTGGCACTAGTTCTGCCAATCATCAAGTAATCAGTTGCAGATATTGAATCTCGGCACAATACCAGCTCTTGACTGCATAAGTTTAAGCGGTTTCAAGATAGAATGTGCCGTACATTTGAAGTAAATCTTTTCACACTTGCTTTGCAATTAGATGGTAGTTATAATCCCAGTGCTTAGACTTTATGGGGTTCTTATGCATTATGAATGATTGTGTTTCTGAACTATTTAGTGGGTTATACTTTGTCTCTTTCAATCACAGCTGAAACTTTGAAGAGGAAAATCAGATTGTAGAGAGGATCCATGTTCGATTCTTGGTGGTTTTTTTGGTTATGGCCGGCCGACACGTTGATAGTTTCGCTGCATGCACTTTGTTGTTGTTGAACATTGCGAATCTTTAAACTTTTTACTAGATTAGGATATTAGGTTGTCTTTGTTCCTCTCATTCCAAATGTTTTCCAGGCTCCCTCCCTCGTATTAGGACTTGAGATTTATTTGTATACCGCATGGAAGTCTTGCTTTATATGGCTACAGCTAAAAATTCTTCACACAACGTCCGTTTCGGTGCCAAACCATTGCCTACCTCGGTGATCACCGATCAGATAGTTTCAGTTTAAATATCAGGGCTAACTATGATTATGTTTTCAGTAATCTTATGTGTTGCTTATCATCTCAAATCCACCCAATAACTTCAGTTCTGGTTTGCTCTACCCACCTCTACTCCTCCTTGCCGACAATCGCTGAGGTTGGTTTAGGGACGATGAAGACTGTGAAACGCCTCAACCATATAGAAACTCCAGGGTGGTGGTATCGATCGAAATCAAAACATGTAAAACGGTATAACTCTAGGTTAAAGTATAGACGCTCGACGTTTTTCGTTTTAGACCATTAGGGCCCGCCGGTGTATCAAAATCCTGAATTCTCTTTCGCAGATTATGAATATTCCTCCTCCTAGTTTATGCACTGCAATTTTGTGGCCTCTTTGGAGGAGGATTTTGTACATCCATGGAATCGCAACTACCTACTTTGGCGCTAATAAGCATCTCCTCTGGAATACGAGCAAGCTCTTTGAAACCACATTTTTTCTGCGTCCACATAATTTTGCATCTTCTTTTATCTATGTAGGGTTTCATTGTTGGATGCCACTTAATACTTCGGTTTAGTGTTGTTTTGCTTCACTTGTTTCTTAGTTCGATTCTCGCCAAAGACGAATTTGAACTACATTATTGTTAGCCTATTGCGAAATTAAGCTCACACTCTCCCCCTTATGATAGATAATACCGGTTGTTATAAAAATATAATAAAAATCTCCATTGTTGGATAAGATTGGGATTTGGGAGGCAGTAGCAGGCCCCTAAAATCTACCACAAGAAGATACGTGAGGTTTGCTAAAAATGTATTTCTATTAAAAGGTAAAGCACTATGGAGCCTGTTGCCTATCAAGGTGCACTAGTCAATGGGTAGGGCTTGTCATTTATCCAAAAGTATACAATGATATATTTCATGAGGGGCCTACCCACCATTGTTAACAAGACAGTATTATTACAAATTTCAAAATTAACCAGGATAATATTTCAACCATGAACTTTTTTTTAGTAAATTAAGAATTTAAACTTTTTGAAATTAACCAATTGACCTCTTACCATCTAATTTCATTTATACAGCAGTTAGAATTGAGAGTAAATTAGTATTTTCATCACTAATTTTAACATGTTGCCACTCACTAATAAAAACATACCACGTGGAAATATCTACAATTCAGATGACTTTTTTCTTTGTGAAAATGAAATTTCTACAATAAAAAAACGTTATTTGTAAGTGAGAAAATAAATTCATTCCTAAAATGAAAAAATGTATTATTCATCATGCAATCCTTTCAAGTTGCAGACCCTAATTTAGGATATTTTAGGACATATTTACTCATATGACCTGCTAAAATTCAGACCCAAAAATTGACACAGCATGAAAGCACTTTGGGTTTGGGTGGGGGGATATTTTTGTCAACTTACAAATAATTGACCCGAAACCAAAAGTAGGCGGTCCCAGCGATAACGACGTTTCCCCGCCCCTGTACTCGCCATCCAGTACACACACGTGTCAGACATCCGATCCCAGATATCTTCATACCCGACAAGCGAGTCCTTGCGCTCACTGCTTTAGATTTCGTCCACCGCAGCATCCCCTCGGCCCCAATTTCCGCCAAGCTGGAAATATCTTCCTTCCGGCGTGGCGTTCTCGAACGTTCTACTTCTACTGCATCTCCAGCCCTTGTTTTGTCCACGTCAGCAGTCCTTCAGCTCATCTCGGAGCTCTATGTTTTCCTCTTCTCTCTCTCCGCTCTCTCTCTCTCTCTCCTCTGTCTTCTCTCTCTTCTCTTTCCCTGACGAAAGGATCTCTCTCTCTCTCTCTCTGTAACTGTTTACACAGTCTTACGTTTCTTGGTCCGGTCAAGGTTGTCGGAAACACAAAATCTGAAAAATATCCGAACTAAGACATTTTTGGAGATCCAAACTTAGATTTTCAGGATTATTCTCTGACGTTGTTATTAAGTTTTAGTTACAATGATTTTCTTGGTAATTTGAGTTCGGATCTAGGTCACTTATGGCGATTAATGAAGCTTTGCAGGTGATTTCTGCCATGTTTTGCTTCTTTGATCTTCTAATTCTCCGTTTGTTTACTTATTTATTTATTGTTTTTTAGCTACTTTGTATTAATTGATTGGAAGTTCTTCCAAGTTAATTTATTATTTTTAGTCATTGAAGAATTGTTAATTTAAATGTTTAGTAATCTAAAATCAGAATTTTCTATTGATTTTATGCATATTTGGAATATTTGTTGATTAATCTGATAATTATACAGTTTCAAGTTCTTGGAGTAGCAAATTTTCTCTTTATTGAGATTTTTTTAATTTTTTTTAATTTCATACTGGTAATTGTCGTTTCTGAAGAAGTGTATGTTTTCTTTAAGAACAAATCATGTTGGTAATGTTTTGTGGTGGGTTTTTTGACTGATATGATGTTCTGGTCTTACAGGGTGAAAGCAATTTGTTGGGTTTCAAGCCGTTTTTAGGCAGCTAACAACGTTTGGCGTTTGTTTCGCATCCATTGTGTATATATTCGGTTATGGATTTGCTGTCGGCATCACTCTGTAATCGGTCAACACACTTTGTGTTAGATTTACAAGGGTCTGTAATTGCAGATGTTTATTTTTGAAATCAGCGCTGTCCGCTATTCTTTTTCCGGATTCAAGAAGATATTTTTTTCGTTCTGAACTTGGGCCGTGTTTACTGCTAGTGTTTTGTGTGACTGACAGGGAGTGTCCTGATGAATGTTAATAGTGACGAGGACAGACAACTGTCGGAACTAAACCACCGCTCATGGGAGGGCGAGGGGGAGAGGGGTAACAATGGAGTGGAGGATGAGGAAAGGAGGTTAGTCGAGGAAGATGAGTCGAAAAGTAATGGAAGAGCTGGAGATGTAAAAGGCCGGCTAGGTGGGGCTGTTCAAACCCAGACTGTTACTCAACAGCCTCAAGGGTCGACGGTTTGCTGGGAGAGGTTTCTACATGTAAGATCTCTTAAAGTTTTGCTGGTGGAATATGATGATTCTACTCGCCATGTTGTCACCGCACTGCTTCGCAATTGCAGTTATGAAGGTTAGTAACTGGACTTCCGAGAGTCCTAATGCTTCATTATGCATGACAATGTCTAGGAACTGCTGTTTATGGAAAGATTGAACGGATGCATTATCAACTTTATGGGGGTTGTTGATTTTCTTGTTAACTTGACTTCTCAGGGTTCGCATGTATGAGCCTTTGTTTTTTCTTCACAAATAATGCGGAGGCTATCATCGGATATGCTATTATATGTTTTTGGTTACTGAATAGCATAAATGTGTATATTGGTGCATTTGAAATCAGTGTTGTTAGTAGAATCATTTGTCATTGCAAATACATGATATATCGCTTCCAATTTAACACAAACTCGTACACTGTCATTGTCAGCAGACAATACTACTTTGTGCATTAATCACATCTTCTTTATATATTTTATTTTTTTTAATCTGAGGATGTGATACTTAAATCTTCATAATTTCAGTGATTCCAGTAGCAAATGGAGTGCAAGCATGGAAGATTCTTGAAGATTTGACTAATCATGTTGATCTAGTCTTAACTGAGGTAGTCATGCCGTGTGTATCAGGCGTTAGCCTTTTAAGCAAGATTATGAGCCATAAGACACGGAAAAATGTTCCTGTGATCAGTAAGTTCTTTTCCCCTTGACCATCTCATTAACAACTGTATTGAGCAGTGATCTCCGTTATGAGGTTTGATGCAGCTTAGAAAGCAGACGTTTGATTATGCCTTCTGTTGATATGTGTATGCAGTGATGTCATCTCATGATTCAATGGGCCTCGTCTTTAAGTGTTTGTCAAAGGGTGCTGTTGACTTTTTAGTGAAGCCTATTCGAAAGAATGAGCTTAAGAACCTCTGGCAGCACATTTGGAGGAGATGCCATAGTGTGAGTCCTTAAGACTTTTTGTTTTGGTATTTGAATGTTTGCCCACAAGTGTGTATAATTCTGTTCATTTCTTGATTTTTTTTGCATTTATTTTTCCACTTCCCCTACCTGATATATAAATTTCTCCTGAAATTTAAAGAAAGTAATATTTTCTCTTCAGATTGGCATTGAGCAGCACTAATGTTAATGAGAAGAGCTTCATAATTATATGATGATATTTAATATGTTTGCCAAACGGTTATGGTTGTTTCACATTGCAGTTTATATTATGTCCCTAACTTTTTTTGTATGACTAGTATCTAAGCTTTGTTTTTTCAGTCTAGTGGTAGTGGAACGGGAAGTGAAAGTGGCAATCAAACCCAAAGGTCTATAAGATCAAAAAGTGTTGAAAAGTCTGAGAACAATAGCGGAAGCAAGGATGAGGAAGATACTGATTTGAATGTTGGAGATGGTAGTGACAATGGGAGTGGCACTCAGGTATGTTAGTTATTGGATACTAAATATCTTGATGGTACATACCTATTAAAAGAGTGTTGCAGACATTAAGGACAATCCACAAATTTGCAGATATGCCTAAGGATATAACGCTTGGGATACAAGTTCTTTTTTTTTTTTTTTTTTTTTTTTTTGGGGGGGGGGGGGTGTGTGTGTGTGGACAAGTTAAAGGGGCTACATTAATACATTTTTTTGTTGCACAATCTCAGTATCAATTTTATGATCATCTCCTTAAAGAAAGATTAAACAGTAAATTCAAAGAATGACCTGGACTCATAGATATGTACGCAGCAGTCTCACTGTGTCAGTGTGTTTCATTTTGTAGAGTTCTTGGACAAAAAGAGCTGTAGAAGTTGACAGTCCGCGACATGCGTATTCATGGCCCCATCCTGATAGTACTTGTGCCCAAGTAGTTCACTCAAATGCTGAATCACTTGGTAACAAATTGGTTCCTGCAGCTGCGACAAGGGAGTGCCAGCAACAGAAGGAACAAAATGGTATTCCTGGAATTATTTGAACCTGTGTGGTTCCGTGTGTGCTAAATTTAAATGTTATTATGCAATTTCGTTATATATTGATGTGTATGCACTCGGCGTGCCTAAGTGTATGTACGTGCATATGTACTTGTTTTACTTTCTTCATGATTAGGCTGTATTTTCTATTTTCAGACAACTTTGCAATGGGAAAAGATCTGGAGACAGGCCTGACCAATATTGAAGAATTACAGCATGGGCAGTGTAATGATTTTTCAACAAAACTAGCAGGAGCAAGACAGAATAATCTGCTTGAGACAGGTTCCAGTAAACTTGACGAGAAAATTGATAAGGGAAAGCTGAACTTGAAACGTGAGAGTCCTTCCAGCATGCTGAAGTATGATGGTGCTACAATAACAGGTGTTGTAACTAATCCCACTGATTCCCAGATGGACAACACACAATTTGAAGCTTCTAACAGACATTATTACGCCTTAGACGTTAACAATAAGGCGCATAGTAATGTTCATGAAATTTCATCCGTGGAGCTCAGTTTGAAAAGGCTTAGAGGAGTTAAAGGCACTGAGACAACAGTACAAGATGACCGCAATGTCTTGAGACGGTCAGACTCTTCAGCCTTTTCAAGGTATTAGGACCAGGAGGACCTAGAAGTTATTATTATCTGTGGAAGTTTGAATCTACGTTCACGTGAACTTTCTATATTTTCCTTTAGCATATTACTTCCTGTGCAGGTATAACACAGCCTCAAATGCTAACAAGGGTCCTTCTGGGCATGTTGGAAGCAACTCTCCACATGATAATAGTGGAGAAGTTACGAAAAAGGAATTCTTTCGCGGCATTCGATCTCATTCAAGAGATAACCCTCCCAATCAATGCTTGAAAGGAGGCAGCAATATCAATGATATGGGATCCACTACTAATAATGCCCTTCCGAAATCTCAAGTTGCAAACAAGTCAGAAGCAGCATCCACGGTCCAACTTTTGCATCCATCATCTGCTTTCCATCCTGTGAAGGACCTTAAGAGTGCTACCGAACATGTTATAAAAGATAATTCTAGCAATGTGGAAACAACAGTACGGGTTCAATCAAGAGACACCCAGAAGCAACACCAAATCCAGAACCGCCATCATGATTATGATCAGCATCGGGTCCATCACCATGTTGTCCACAATATGCAAGAGCCACAGCTGCGTGACAATAATGATTTATCTTTGAAGAAATTGGCTGCAGCTGCCCCACATTGTGGATCATCGAATGCCCTAACTGGGCCTGTTGAAGGTAACCCTGGAAATTATAGCATCAATGGGAGTGGTTCAGGTAGTAACCATGGGAGCAATGGGCAAAACGGAGGCAGCGGTGGACATAATGTTGGAGGTACAAAGCTAGAAAGTGATTATGGAGTTGCTGGGAAAAGTGGAAGTGGTGACGGTAGCGGAAACCAGAGTGGAAATAGAGTAGATGAAAACATGTTCAAGCAGAGAGAAGCTGCCTTGACCAAGTTCCGTCAGAAAAGAAAAGAGAGATGCTTCCGAAAAAAGGTAACTAACATTCAGTTTGCAACTTTACATCCTAATAATAGATCTTAATAAGTGCTTATGAAAAATTTGCACGTTCCTCCTGTACATGCAACATTTATATTAAATGATTTAACTTCAATCTGGTAAATGTGCCCTTTCTTGCATTGCATGTTTGATTTCCTTTAGAAGGTTGCCGAATTCTGAAAATAAGAGAAAATATAGACAGCCTGTTGAATCTGATTTTCGGTTGGTGGTTTTTCAGGTTCGGTATCAAAACAGAAAGAAACTGGCAGATCAACGACCTCGAATTCGAGGACAGTTTGTGCGGCATACAATGAGCGAGAACACGAGCAGGACAACAGATAGCTAACTCGGGCACTTCCGGTAACATAGGTTTGAAACTTGGTGATTACTTGTGAGCTGTTATCAGTTAAATGCATATGTATATTTTCTTGCAACTCTTATGAGCAAGGTGCTACGTAAATATTCGTGTAGACAGATTTGGAGGTGTAGGACGTGAGAATTCCAGACAAGACCACACCTTGAAGCTGCAGTCGATTAATGTGGATTTCAAATTGCTTCTTTAAACAGGAGGCCGTCGGCTTTATGCCATCAGTGTCCTTTTATTTCGTGTTAAAGAATAAAATGTCTTCAATGCCTTCTCTAGACTATTGGCTTCTCGGCATTAGGCCGAGACTCGAGAGCCGGCCAATATTTCACTTGAGGTTAGGTTGCTCTCTCTACCGCAGGCGGGTTGGCCAAGGCGGTTTGCCCGCCATGTTGAATCTGAGTTTGAATTTCCCTCATCGTAAAGTAGAGTAGTTAAAAGAAAAGCGTTATTTCTTTACCAAGGTATATACATAAACAGATTGCATGAATCAATGGAAACCAATATGTTAAAATTGGAATTGATAAAACGTCAGAAGGAGAATTATGAGATTACTCGCAAACCAGTGATTTCTGCACTCTTCTTTTCACCTTGTGCACGTGCTCCCTTGTTTCCTCTTTAATCAGCAGATTGAACAAATCAACAAAGAATCGACAAAGTTAAGCGAAGAAGTGTATAAAAATGGAGTGACTTTCTGCCACTTCCCTTTCTTAAAAATTCAGGCAGTTTGACACATATGGAGGAGTAAAGATCTGGGTTGGGCCTAGTTTGTCTATGATTAGAATATTTGTTTTTCGGCCCTTGGGCTCTAACTCTACCCAAAAGTGGGAAAGAAAAAACAACTTTGACATGATATCATTACTCTAACCTGATCGGACTGCCAGTGGTAAAGTCACCAGATGATCTTTTTTTTTTGTTTAAAAAAAAAAAAATTATCATCGGAGCCAGTGGTCTTGAAGAAGGGCAAAACGTTTGCCATGAACATGTACGTAAATGTTTGTATCATAAAGTTGTTAGCAATTTGAATAATTTCGAGTTAACTCAGGTGGTAAGAATGATGGAGAAAAAAGAATCAAAATTAAGATAAGGTTAAGGGTTCCGTTGCGTCCATCACACGAAAACTAAAGTTAATACCGCGATGTAATTAGTTCAGCTTACAGCATATGTTTCAGATACAAATTCCTTGTATTTATCTTGGTTGTCTTTGTATCTATTTATTTTCCTTCTTTTGGGTACTCATTGTTAGTTCAGAACTCGTGAGCTTAATTTGTTTGACTAGGAAAAGTGCTAAAAACAACTGACAAACACGATATGCTTTTTCTCCAAACAAAGCACGATGTGCTTTGCTTTGTGTTTTTTTTCCTTGTATGTGGGAATGTCTTAAAGTTTCTGTCGATTGGTCGGATTCAGTTGGAAGAAATCCAAAAGAAAAAGGCCACCGTATGGTCCTCATCACTGTATTTGCTAGTAATTTTTATTTTTATTTTTATTTTTTTAAAAACGAAAACGAAAGCTTTATTCAAGGAAACTTACTTAGGATACAAATTTTGGTAGAGTAGGTCTCTTATAACGTCAAGAGTTCTTCAAACTAAACCTTTGTGCGAGATAAACGAGTTTTTACAATCTTGGAACTCAGATGAAGGCCCCTGGATGGACATCCAAATCCAACATTACAAAGCTTATCCTAGACACGTCCTCGGATATCCTTGTGCAAGCTGCCACCACCTAAAGAAAGTCAAACTGTCACATTGAGCTGAAAGTCCACATGTCCATTTTATTTGATGTGGTTGATTTTTATCTCATTAAGTAGTTATTTTAATTAATAACATATGTTAGGTCTTCCAATTAGATTATGACTGTTTAAGATATCGAATTCATCAAAGAATTTTTATCCATTCTTCTATTCAACCATGCAACAAATTTTTGACCTACAAAAATTTGTAGCTCAAGCAATTCAGAAAATATTTTTATGACTTTATGCGCGGAATTATGTGTTTGATTTCTCCTTCTGTTTCCACCACAAGTTGGAGATAGTGTTCTCTATAAAGAATAGGACGAATACTCCCTCTTGACATGTTCGAGCTTGACCTCCATCTTTTTTTTTTTTTTTTTTTTTTTTGATAAACTAGAATTTTCATTATCAGAGCAAAAGCCAGAGAAATTCACACGAGAGCCCACAAGCAAAGAAAACATCAGAATAACTAACAGATATGATTGGAATAGGGGGAATACATGAGAGGACGCCGCAATATTTACAAGTGTCACCCCTCTTATTCCCCAAACAAAATTAGGCTGGAGGAGGACAAGGCAAACCGTCCTTATTGAGGATATGTGCCAAGGAAGATGGGGCCTATTGACCCAAGTGTAAACGCTCATCTCCTGGAATTTGATTAACCTCCCTCTTTGGGTATATGTTACTTATATGTATGAGGGTATTTATCGTTGAAATGTCTCACGTCGACCGTATTAATGAGAAAAAAAAGTTTAAATATCATAATCTCACTCTAACTAATACCGAGACATTTTGTAATAAAACCCCACACCTGATGGATTGTGCAGGTGGTAATTACCAACCAAGTTGGAGACAATATTGGTGTTGTTGGAAGTGAGTTTTCTGATAATTCTAAATGGTATTAGAGCTAAGGAATGGGCCCGTATTGTATTGCCACGTGATGAGTGGGTCCCCTTGGTCCTGCGTGTAGGGTGAGTCCCTATGGCTCCACGTGGTTGTCGATGTGTGAATCTCCAACGTGTGACCCACTAATTGGGAATCGGGTCCCACGTGAGAGGGCGTGTTGAAATGTCCCACATCGACCATATCAATGAGAAGAGAAAAGTTTAAATATCCTAACTTCATTCCAACTAATACTGAGGCCTTGTAATAAAACCCCACATCTGACAGATTGTGCATGTGGTAATTATCAAGTTAGAGACAATATTAATGCTATTGAAGTGGATCTTCAGTCCGTTTTTCTGATAATTCTACATTTATAGCATTTATTTGATTGTGTTGAATTGATGAACTGGTGAAGATTAGTCTAATCAATATCTTATTTAATATAACTATGCTTGAAACTATATAAATAAATCACTGACATGCACCCAGTGACCCAGTCCCAGGTTCTAGTAAGTTTCACCGTCGCTATCATCCTGCAGCCTTGACAATCTCATTAATGTGTGGAGCCCATCACAATTACCAGAGGATATATAATACAATCTGTGTGACAGGTTTCTTTGATCAGCATGATTTTGTTTATTTATTTATTTGTTTGTTTGTTTAATTTCCTTTATTTTAATTGATGAAACCTTGTATCTCGTAGAAGAATTGGGTAATGTTCATAATTAAACATTTCTCTCATGTATTAGTTAAACATATAGCCAATAGTTATTTACGTGTGCACTGAGTTTAACATTCTTACACATTATTAACCTTGACAACAAAGGTGGCATGTGTTGGTATACGTGTGAAAAGCTTCATTGTGAATGTCTCCTTTCGTCGCGTTTGAGTGATTTTTCAAATAAGTTTATTTGAGGGATCATTTGTAGGATCTATTTTACATTTATTGTGAATGATCTAACCATTATTTTTATATTCTTTCCTCAAATATTATCTCTACTTATCAAAAATCGTTGAAACATTTGACCGTTGAATTAAATAATAGTCATATTAGTGATTTCTTGATAAACTGTATTCGTCTTTTATCTTCACTAAAATTACATGCCTTAATGGTTTTTATTTGTGTAACAACCCGTCCCTAATTTTAAGATTTATTAATTTTAAAAGAGTGAATTGATGAAAATGTCCCTAGAGGTGAGGATATTGACTTTCGTTGACCAGTGTATAGTGAGACGTATGAAACATTCTTTTAGCGTATCCTTGTAGTACTAGTCACTACGAACACATAAGCACAAGCGCAATCGAATTTGGAGTTACGATAGACATTTTACGAACTTACAAAAGTGAAAGGCGACTTGGTAATTTCATGTTTACAGATATTTTGTGGCTTGTTTCGTAAGCCACGTGGGGCCCACACCTCACTCTTTCCCTCTCTCATGTATCTCCCAATCCCCCAGAAAACCCATTTTTTCAACCTTCTCCACTCATTTGCTACCACCTCATCTCTTCTTCCGTCATTTCACTCTTTCTCACCTCTTAGCTCCCACTTGTCTCTCCTTTCTCTGCAAGTGCAGAAAAGCTACCTAAGGCACACACCATCGAGCCATCACCCCAGCCATGTACAACCATCGCCAATCTAGCGAGCCTCAGAACCTAAACCATCTTTCCCTCGACCCTACAAAGTTAAACCAAGCTTTAGGTTACTGAAAATCATGCACAGAAGCTCACATGGAGCTCTATTTGAAATCTGAGTTTTCCGGCGAGGGTCTCGCCTTTATGGCAAAGGTAAAACTTAACGATCTTAAAATAATTCCCTGTGATGTTATGAATAAATATTTGAGTTGTGTTTTGATGGGATTCGATACAAAAAAAATCACGAGGAAGTTTTCCCCATATTTTTGGTACTCAGAACCATGGCCATCGAGCCACTTCCAGACTCCTTTTCCGGCCAACTCTGACCATAACACAGCCTCAAATGGGTATAGACCCATTCCCTACACTTATAGCTTCACTTAGGTTTTTGTATCACCGATTTTGGTTTCGATTTGAGCTCGTTTGGAGCTCTGAAAGTCGGCCTTGCTACCTACAAAACGTAGGCCTTCAAGGAAAGCGAGTATTGTTGTACTCACAGGCATGTAGGCATGTGTGAGGGAGCTGGCGCGTGGTTGCCAGTGCGGCGCGTGGTTGCCAGTATAGCCACCTTGTGGCAGCGCATGCTGCGGTGCATGGAGGAACTTGAAGTCCCTCCTTAGGTTTCTAGACGTTCCGAACCCAAATCCACCGTCCATTTTCTGAAATTCGACCATTTTAAAATAGTTCCTTTATTAGCCGTACTTTATACGAAAATGCATTTATACGTTAGTACGTTAAATATTTACGTAAATGGTTTTGTTTCTAGGTGAAGCACATCGCAAGGACTCTCGATGCTCGCGAGGCGGGTTCGACTCAACAACATGATTTGTGAGTGGGTCTTTTCTTTGATATAGTATATATATTTGTTTAGTTTTTATATATACATCTAATAACGAAATTTTTATATGATGCCATAATTAAATTAATGTTTCTAGTAAATGGCGTAACGATGAGAATTAGGAAATCATTATAAATCCTACGAGATGCCTTAATTAGTTATACGGCTATGAATAATATTATGTTGACTAGAATTATTGAATCACTCTGGCATGACTATATTTACGTTATTTGCTCATCATGTGCTGCACCGGTGTTAGTACTCGCTCGAGGCCAAGGCTTGTCTTTCACGTGTATGTTCACATCGCACTGTACGCTCACTGTACTCGT